AGCTAAATAACATAGCGAGGTAAGTAAGTGGCATCGGCGGTTTTTTTACGCCTAACCGTTTCCCAAAGTAAAGAAGGAAAGAACTTCAGACAAAGGGAAAGAAGAGTTATGCGATAAAACTCCTCTTAAATTGATGTTTAGCTATGGCATATGCGAGGGGTGGGGGCTTTTTAATTGCTGGATAACATGTGCCGTTACCAAAAAATTACGGAAAAACATTTTTTCCTTGGTTTGAAATTTTGACCACGAAAATTTTAGCTCCAGCCATTTGTGATACCAGGCAAAAAAATCCAATATTTAGATATTTCCGGCCCTCTTAGCAGCAGGCCCTTTAATTAAAGTGTCCTTAAGTTTGGACGGTATCTAATATTATATATCCGCAGGAACGAAACATGACAACAGCTGGTTACAGATTGTCAATGTGTGAGGCTGAGCTTCTGGGTTCCCTGTGACAGTTCTTGTCGAGAAGACCCCAAATCAGTATATTTGCTGTTTTAGGTTGATTCTGTGCTATAACTTACTGCCTTTAGCCAGTCAAAAAATGTTCAGTGTAGAGTTACATGTGGGGTATGAAGAAGATATTTTATCAGGGAGCACTAGCCAAAAATATCTTTTTGGGTGATGCATTTAAACTTGAAAAAGATGGCCCAATTTTTCCAGTTTTCAGTCCATGTCCATCCTGGCCCTCAGTAGTAACAGAACGCGACAGGAAAAAGTTTCAGTTTCAGGCAAGCACGAAGTGAGTGAGAAGCGCCAGACAAGCGCGACGGGAAGACGCAGAAAAAACAACGGCCTGTCCACATACCATCGTTTTTTTGCATATACTCCTTAATGGCTCTCCTCACTCCCTTCGCGCTTGCATTCGCTCCGGCTTCAGGCTTAATTGCCATCACTCGCCTGAAAAACGCACGCCCGCTATGCAGGCTAGCCAGTTAGCTTGATATGGGAATGGCTGAAAAAGAGATTTGCAACACAAGACTGCTCAATTAGACGTACAGAAGCCAAAATTTGGACATATCTTACGAACCTATATCGATCTTTCTCTCCCGCTCTCTTTTTTCCCTATGCCTTTCTTCTTCTGTTGCTCCGGCACTTGATCGTATTCCCACTGTCTTTGTTTTGCCAGGAATTTTGGCCGCTAAATTTTCAGGAAAGGGACATTTAATTAATCTGTAGAGAATAGAAGGTGAATAGAAAAATTGGAAGTAGATTTTTTTACCCCAAATGTTGCTTTTTTGTGTGTGTAACTCTCTCAAGATACATGAAGATAGGTGAAAATTTGCTAAAAGAGGTACCAGTGGAAAAATCTATCCTTGTTGATTTTGATAAGTTCATCACCTTGGGGAATAAATGGAAAGCTAAATGGGTTCATGAAGGATATTCATGGTTCCCAAAAAAAAAAACACCCATAAGGCCCCAGTGTCGGCAGTACTCCGTCCATCTGATTTACTTTTTCTATTGAGAGGACAATTGCAAGGATCCGTGAGGGTCCATTCAATGAAGGTTTCAACTAATCAATGGCACAATTACGGGTCAGTCCACTTGGCGATCTTTGACCATCTTTGGCTGTTCGAAATCGTGTCTGGGCTTAATTAATAGTGCTGAACGCACGAACAGTGAAGAGGCAGAAAGAGGAGGTGGAAGAGTTTCAGAAAAGAGAGAAAAGGGGACGATGATTACTTTAATCTTGTCTTTACTTACGTTATTTTTAATATGTGAGACGTGGCAATTTTACCAAAATATAACTTTGAAAAACTACCAAGAAAATTAACTATTTTGGATTTTTATTGATTGAAAACTTATAGAGTCTGATGTATAGTGTAAATTATTAATGGCAAATCCCTAAAATGCATTGACGAATAATCTATATCGGTACCATAAAAGCATGTGCCCACTCCAAGAAAGATGTATGACCGCGAAATTCATTCAGGTGAATAAAGTAAAGTTAAGTCATCTGACATGAATAATATTTCTTTACACACTTCAAAACCTCTCATTTTTTTCATCGAGTTTGACAACTGTCACGCAATTGCAGAATACAGCACTACAACACCCAACAACAATTGCTGAGCAACCTTAATTTTATAATGTACAATTAAGAAGAGCTAACATACAAATTACAAAACATTTAACATTAGCTATTCTCCTGGTTTTGCTATTTCAAACCTCAAATGTTGCGTGATGCTAACAGTATTGAAACCCGTCCTTGTGTACGATAGGAATTTCTCAAACTCATTAATAATTCATTAAGAAAATACAAAGGAAATTAATGTTTAATGAGTGTTTGGAAATCGGATGAAACACTGCTTAGTATTTGCATCCTTAATTTCTCCTTCAAAAATGATTTTGTTTGAGAAGAAATATCAAACATTCGACACAGTGTTTCATCACCAGATGAAACACCTCGAAGTAAATCAAAAATACTCCGCTGCGCGTCGTATTTTCAACTCTCTTCTCCGTGTTTCATCTGGTGATGAAACACTGCATCTCATGTTTGATATATTACATGCAGATACATTTATATGCAAATTTGCCACATTGTGTCACCAACCTTCACAGCAATTTCTTATCAGGGATATCAATTTTTCAGATCCTTTACTTAATTTTAGCTTCATTAAAAGGGCTTTCATCCTTTCTCCTACGTTTCGAATATACCACGTACCGAAACTACAAAGAAAAATCGGGCGCATCATTTCTCTACAAATTTGATTTATGCAAATTTGTGACATGTTGCCACTGGTGGTCACGAAACTTTTTATTTTGTAAAGGCGAATCCGGAGTACCCAGATTTTTTATTTCATATTCTGTTAATGTAAGAGCTGAACTTTGTCCTAGAATACATTTTGACTAGGTATCACACATACCAAGGTGGGTTTTTCGCCTCTGAAGTTGCTCATTTTTTAGCCATTTTAAAAAGTGCGCTTGGTGGTAGTTTTTAAAAAACCGAAAAAAAATTCAAAATCATGTTTATGGCTTAAAACATACCAAAGATAGAAAGAAAAGATAGAATTCTTTTAAACAAAAAATATTTCTGTTTTATAGCTTTGAATCTTGCCTCGGTACAGACGCGATAAAGTAGTCGAAAACTATAGATTCTTGAAAGTTGAAAATATTTTTTTCGAAGATAGTTTCCGAAAGGGGTTTTTCTGACAAATTATCAGAATTTTCGATTTTTTTAGCCTGGCCATCGATTCTCGATATTTACGGTCATGGGCTCTTAAAAATCTTATAAATCTTTTTGTCAGATTGAAATGTTGTGTTTATTGAAATTTGAATATTATTGCCTGAGTTTACAGGAAAGAGACATAACAGCATGTTCATTAGAACTACTTATTTTTATCGTTGATGTTGCTGACAGTTACTTTTAGGTTCAAAACACTTTGAAACTGTTGGGTTTGTTATTTAATAAAGATAATAACTTAACAGTGAGGGGGTAAATTATTTTTAACTTTTTTTTCTGATCTTACTGCTGCGATCTACGCTTTTTCCTAGTTTTTGAATTTATTAGTATGCTTGAACTGTTTGGGTTCAAGTTTGTTTGCAGGAAATATTTACAGATATATACATTTTTTTAACATGAAGCCCCCCTTCCCCTGAACCACTAAGAGCAGCGACCTTCAGCTGATTGTCTTGGTGGCTGAATAATTCCTGTGAAGTCTTCAGCAAGTTTGTCTTGACTACATGGCCATGCACTATGGAAAACTAACATGCAAGTTTCAGTTGACTTGCCTACAATACTACCGAAGATTAATGAAAAACAAGGAACTGCATGGTTATGAACTGCATGATAATCCTTAACTGTTAGCTCTGCAATTAAAGTTTTATCATGGGAAATTAATTTGCAGTACATACTCTATTTGTAATTAACGATTTAATATGATTGCAAAATTTAAGACAGTCAGTGAAGAGATCTATCCCATAGCTATTTGACAGCTGAATTGGATTGATACTTGCTCTTAGATCGTGTATAACATTTCCTGGAATTTCACTTTCTACATCCTCAACATTAATTAACTGTGGAGGTGGAAAAAGGAGGTGCTGAAGGGTCATAGCCATACCAAGATAAATCATCAAAAGATGGCTCTCGTTCCACAATCTCAGCAACCATCATCACTCCCGATGTAAATGTCAATTTTCGGAAACTGAAAAGTCTACCATTGCACTGGGTAATATTCTCAATGACCCATTGTAAATCAGAACGAGCCTGAGAGCTTAAAGAGAGTGTCTTGTCATAATCAAGGCTTCCAGACAAAGTCTGAGTCTTGTATAACTCTAAGGAACGGTAATGCATCTATAGATACAGTAATTCACAGCAACCGCCATCAATTGATGATTTCTCACATCAATCATCCCATTAACCCAAATCCTCTCAGGGCTCCAGTTATTTTCTGTTCCGGTTAATGGATGATTATTCCAGGCAGAGGTAAAACTTGAAAGTGCCCTGTTTACGTGTGACAGATAGATGTAATGAAGAGTAAATTTGTGCAGGGGGTTATCTATCTGGAGTAATCCACTTTCTTCCATTGCTTGGAATCATAGTAGAATATATGTGCTACACATCTAAAGACATCTCACCAAAGGCGCTCAATTCGCTGATTATGAGTCGAAGAACCTACCAGGCAACTTCCCCTGTTTGGTCCTCTTCTCTCTTCCATCAATTGCCAAACTTGCCTATTCTCTCCACCATGACCTGTTCGCACTCGGGATGGCCATCCATACACCTGGGTTACATTCAAAAACAGGTCCCCCACTGTATCACTTCTGTTGTTTGTTTAGCAGTACAAGAAGCTAAAGGTCACCAATCTTAAAAACCCATCAATTGCGCCGTGGATTACGCCCAATTAACAAGGCTATGATGGCCATCTAAGTGCCAGAGGCTGTTTGGCCCAGCAACTGAGTATGCTCGTCTTGACACTGTTATTGCCCAACGTATTCAGACATTCTGAGGGTCTACACGTGCAAGACATTTACGTACCCGCTCTCGCTGTATTATTAACCCCTCAGATCTCAATTGGCCTAAAACCATTGAAGAACCGACTAAACAGCCATGTTCTCTGGAATGCACTTACTTTGCTGTCCAATTGTTCATCAGCGACGTCACTAAAGCGTGGCAGGTGGTTGAGACCAAAGTCGGATACTCTGCGGTGAACTGTCCAGCGTGAGACAAGCAACATGCGAGCGATATCTTCCCAACTGAAACCCAGAGAACGGAGCTCAATCAATGTCTCTTCCTTTATGTCATATTTTGGCCTTCCAACTTGTCCATTAACTACTCTATTTCGTGAAGAAAGGGACAAAACAGCTACTTGTGAGCATCTTGTTCAACTCGGAAATTCACACCTTCGATAGCAGTTCCAAAAGATCAACTGAAAATTCCTGGTCACTTCGAGAACTGCTTCACTGTTGGCGTCTGATACAAATGGAGATAGATTTTGCAAAGCTTGGACTGCATTTTCCAATCGAATAGTTAAGTTTTCCTTTAAAGAAATGTCACTCGCTGACTGATGCTGCTCATATTCACAAAACAACTCTTCTAAATCTGTAAAGAATAAACTCGCTCTCTGTTCCACGGACCTTACGGCGATCACTGCCATCCGCCATCTTGCTCATACGGACAGGTATTTAGTTTCCAAGTCCCTCGCGGTAACAAGGGGCCAACTCGGACCCAATTTGTTGACACAAATTTTTGTTTGTTGATCTTGAAAGCTTTTGGTTCGTGACTTAATTTGAAAATCAGAAAGAGTTGATAGTGAAGCAACATGGTTTTTGTTGTTGCGATTTGTCGTCGTTCATTTAAGACTGATTGCAATGTTGAAGTTGAAAAGCTGACGTTGACGGTGATAATGTTCTTAAAGTTGGTGTTGATGTTGAGAAATATTTGTTGAATTAGGTATCAAGTTGTTGATTTTGACATATATTTTCTCTCTTGAATTTTGCTACTATTTGGCTACCATATCCGTCATGTAGAGCCTTCACACAGCTAGAGTGTATGGCCAAGTCCAGAGTGTCTTTTTGATGGACTTTGAATGTTTCTATGCTAATCAGGAACCGAGAAGAGAGTCACCTTAAGAGAACCATGGGTAAGAGCTGAGTTTCTTGGCAATATTCACTTTAGTTGAGTAGGTTTAAGGTGTGTGGCCCCGAGGAGCCAGTTGGTGCGGTTTTCATAAATCCAGCTAGATATATATTACAAGAATAGCGTAGAATTTAAAATTAGTTATATGCCTGATGTTTTTACCGAATTTAAAAAACGTTACTTGACTTGACCTGACTTGGCTTGAGATCACTCGTGGTAGAAAACCATCGCTTCCAGAATTTTATGGTTTCACGCTGGGTTTCACGTTTCCACTGTCTCCGACCTCTCACCTGTGTATTCTTGCTTGAAATAGTCCAGTTTCGAGTTCTCTATGACCGCTGAATTAATATATTCCAACGATAAAAAGGCCTTTTCATTACTCTGCCTATTGTGTTATTACTCTGTCTATTGTGCATATTCAAATTTCAAGCACTTACTTGCCGGATTTCTAAATATTTTACTTTATGTCTAGGGTAATCCTTATGAATGTGTCGTTAATGATCGTATTCAGCGGTAATTTTTAATTCGAAGCTAACACATAAATGAAAATTAGAGGAGAGGTACTTACCTTGAAGTGTAATTGAAGTTCTATTAAGATATGTGGAGCATTATGGGTTAATTATGCGTACTTCCTACCTACCTACTGGTCAGCGGTCACGTTTAAAAGAAGTTATTCAAATGCAAATTAGCATTGATATAAACCCCAGGAGGCGGCGTGATAACCAGTTCTTCCTGGAGAGCGAGGTCCTCAAAAGAACTAAGGGTGAGAACATCAAAAAAGGAAAAAGAGACAGGGTTGGGAAGCATTTTCCCATAATGCTCCACATATCTTAGGAAAACTTCAATTACACTTCAAGGTAAGTACCTCTAGTCTAATTTTCATTTCCATTTCTATACGCTCCGCATTATGGGATAATCATGGGATTTTAAAGAACTGCGGCCTAAAAACACTAAACAATTCCATATACAGCAAAATAAGGCATTTATTAGGATAAACGCCTAGACCTACTCTTAGACCAGAACATCTCAAAAATAATGTCTGCGAAAAACATGCTCACTAGACCAAATTGCCATCTTAAGGATATCTGCAACTGGCATGGGGTGCCTGTGACGTACGCATGAGATGTGGCAGCCCCTCTTACACTGTGTGCCTTAAATTTCGAAGTGTAAATCCTTGCGGACTGTAACACTGACATGATCCACCTTGCCATTGTCCTAGGGGACACTGGGGTTGTATGGCCTAATGAAGGACAAAAACAATTTAGAAACAAAATGTCCACTACGAAACCTAAGCGTTTCAGAGCGAGAAATATACTCCTTTAATGCGGCAAGCGGGCAAATTGAAGCACAACCTGAAGACGAAAATGTGATCTCAATAGACTTCCCTGGCCTGGAAGTCTTTAACCGATCAGTCACAACAAAGC